TGAAGCAGCTAACGGAAAAGTTGCTTCGAAGAGCGCCGGGACCGCAGGGAAGCGCTCGCGCAGCCCGGGAGGCTCGGCTTCTCGGGGCGGCCCTTGGTGCCTACACCGCACCCGGAGGCTGAGCACCCCTTGCCAGCGCTCCTGTAGCTTCGCACAAGGCAGAGGTCTGCGCGCAGCCTCCCAGTTTTCTAAACTAAAAACTGCGCGCGCCCTAGTGTGGGAATCTGACATAGACTTTCAGAGTTTTGTTTTGCTTTCAGGCCGGCCGGCTGCTCTGTCAAAGCAGACAACTCCGCGCCTGAACGGGAATCGCTCGCAAGCTGGTGCGCGGGCCGAGCCTGCCTCTCGTGGGGGCCGCTCGCGGAGGGGCGCAGGGACAGCTGGGCCTGCAGCCTGAACGGAGGAGAGCCTCCGCCAGCGTCGGGGTGGAGGGGAAGGGCAGGACCTTTCTTGGGGGCAAAAGTGTCCGCGCACCCCGGAGCAAGGAGCACGTGTGCACTGACATTCTAACCGTGTGGGGAAAGGAGACTTCCACCGGGAGCAAGTCTGGCTTCTGGTTTTAGGTTTTAAGAGACGCGGATATGTGCGTGTCCCAAGGTGAATAAAAATCGGACGCCTCCTGGCTGGGTGCAGCTCAGCCTTTCTCTCCCTCCCTCCTTCTTTACCNCTGGGAGGACTCGGCGCCCGGGGGGAGAAGGAGGAGGGGCAGTTCTGGGCCAATCAGCGGCGCCGGCCTGGGAGGTTGCTAGTGGTATCCACGTAAATCAAAGGGCGCGGAGCCAATGGGAGGGGGCGGAGGGGGCGGGGCCCAGGCGCGTGCCGCTGCGAGCCGGCTTTGCCAAGAGAGCGGGAGAGAGCTGGAGAGCACAGGGAGAGGGGGGAGCGCAGAGCTAGTCTGAGAGTGAGCGAGGCAAGAAGGAGGGAGAGGAGGAGAAAGGGAGCGAGGGAGGGCGAGAGGCGGCGGCGGCGGCGGCAGTAATAGCAGGAGCAGCAACAGAAGGCGTCGGAGCGGGCGTCGGAGCTGTCGGCTGGGGGAGAGAGAGGAGAGAGAGAGAGCGAGGGAAGAGAGGAGCCCGAGGCGAAAAAGTAACTGTCAAATGCGCGGCTCCTTTAACCGGAGCGCTCAGTCCGGCTCCGAGAGTCATGGCGACCGCAGCGTCTAACCACTACAGCCTGCTCACCTCCAGCGCCTCCATCGTGCACGCCGAGCCGCCCGGCGGCATGCAGCAGGGCGCCGGGGGCTACCGCGAGGCGCAGAGCCTGGTACAGGGCGACTACGGCGCGCTACAGAGCAACGGGCACCCGCTCAGCCACGCTCACCAGTGGATCACCGCGCTGTCCCACGG